ATAATCCTGCCTCATTAACATCGTGTTGTTGTATGTGCCGTTGAGTCAGGCCTGACTCATAGCGACCCCTCCTTGGGTTTCCAAGGCGGTATCACTACAGAAGTAGATTGCCCAACCTTTCTTCTGAGGAGCGGCTGGTGGGTTTGAACCATCAACCTTTGGATTAGCAGTCAAGTGCATTAGGCACTATGCTACCAGAGCTCCTCATTAACATCATAGGTAGGAAAATTTACAACACTTAGGATAATACATCCGATCACTAATTGGAAGATAATTACAAAATGCTGAGAATCATGGCCTAGACAAGTTGACGTGTATTTTGGGGGGACACAATTCAATTCATAGCACTGCTGAAAACTAATGATAAAAGAAGAAGATCTAAAAAACAAGCTAAAAACACATTCCATAAGGAGAACAGGGATACAAATGAAGGTTTGACTTCTTATAAAAACAATGAAGGCCAGAGTTACTTCAGAGTCATATCTTTAAAGTTCTGAAAGAAAAACAAATAACTCAGTCGACAATTCTGTAATGAGCAAAAATATCTTTCAGAAATGAAGGTGAAATAGAACACGTTCAGTGAAATTAAAGCTGAAAGAATTTATTGGCAATAGCTAGATACTTCAAGAAATATAAAGGCAGTCATTCAGGCTGAAGGGAAGTAATGCTATTTGGAGAAAGAATGGAGAGTGGTGGAAATGGTAAGTGTGCTGATAAATAATGTTTCAGTGGAGTTCCGCTGTTGCTTAGGGTGGAGGAAGCCACCTAAGAGATCATTGCTCTTTCCCTTAACATCAAGAAGAAGGTGGATAATCTACCAAATTGGATTTTCCAAATTCACTGGCAGTCACATGGCACCAGATGAACTGAATGCCAACAATAACAAGTCCTTCAGAAGAGATCGAACCTACGAGCTGCTTCCCATGCAGTGAAACAAAGGAGGAAGAGCTGGCAGCCATAAAAATGTGTCAGCCAAAAACAACTGAAGTCTTGTTGACTGTTTAAAGGACTAATATGTGCAAGCATGATAACTTAGAAACAGAAGCGTCATCACCCACTTATCTGCTCTCTACCATAGGACTCCCCCAAGTGCTCATGAGAAATACTAAAAAAATAGTCTATTCCTATTCTTTCCGCTTTCTCATGTTCTCTTCCCTTCTTGCCTCTAAAATTCATATGCAAATACAAAGAACCTAGAATAGCCCATCCACTCAGAAATGAAGAACAAATGTGGAGGATTTAACATTCTAATTTCAAACTTACTATAAAGCCACAGTAATCATGATAATATGATATGAGAGATCAGTGGGATAGAAATAAACTCATATAGATATAGTCAGTTAGTTTTCAAAAAGTATGCCAAGACCATTCAGTAGGGGAAATTATAGTCTTTTCAAAAATGGGACTGGGACAAATGGGTGTTCACATGCAGAAGAATGAAGTTGGGCCCCTGCTTCACCCCATGTGTAAAACAGTAACTCAAAATGGATCAAAGACCCAAATAGAAGAACTAATACTATAGAACTTTTAGAGGAAAACATAGGGGTAAATCTTTGCGACCTTGAATTTGGCAATGGTTTCTTAGATATGATGCCAAAAGCACAAGTAACAACAGAAAAAAATGGATAAATTTGGATTTTTATTTAAGATGATGAAAATGTTATAAAATTGATGGTGATAATGGTTGCACAACTCAGTGAATATATTAAAAACTTTGAATTGTGTACTTTAAATGGGTAAATTTCATGGTATATGAATGATAACTCGAAAAATAAAAATGCACAAAAAAACCTTTTTAATAGATCCTTCTAAAAAATAATAGTATAGTGTATAGTGAGCCCATGAAAACAGGCTCAATATCATTAATAATCAGAAAACTACAAATTAAAACCATAATGAGTTGCCACCATAAACCCATCAAAATAGCTAAAATTATAAAGTGGAAAGTAACAAATGCTTACCTTATACGAATGTCCCTCTCATATCCCTACCATAGTACTTTCTTGATAATGACATTCCAGGTACCCAAGTTCCTGTAGTTGAAGTTCTTTGGCAACCTCGGCATCTATGTTTACCATTGATATAACCTGGACTGCTGGGTAGAGTTGGTGGTTACCTTGTTAAATATCCAATCATGTACCTACAAATAAAACATTTCTTTTTGACTATCAAGTCATCTCAACCTTGGACTTTCAGGTCAGTCTATTGCAAAATTAAGAAGTAGGTTATCTGGTATTATATTAGGTTTGTCATCTTGTAGTTACTTTTTCTCAGACTCTCCAGGAAATAGAAAATAAACCCTTTGTATGTTCCAGGCGGGAACTCTGGTGGCATAGTGCCTAAGGCACTTGACTGCTAACCAGAAGGTTGGCAGTTCAAACCCACCAGCCACTCCTCAGAAGGCAGATTGGCGATCTACTTCCCTAGTGATCCTGCCTTGGAAACCCCAGGAGGGGCCACTATGAGTCAGAGACGACTTGAAGGCCCATAACAACAACATGTTACAGGCTACAACAATTCATGAGTACTTATTACTCCCATTTTATAAAGAACTGAAGCTCAGAGAGACTTCAGTGAAGCAGGGTCCGGTGCTGGTCTATCAGTGGGGGACCCAGGTTCTGCGGAGACCTGAGTACATTGGATTTTTTTACAGTGGTCTTGCCTGTGGAGTTTGAGAGTGACTTTTCAGAGACCCTGTTTAGTATTTAGGGAGCTTTGGTGGCATAGTGGATATGGCATTTAGCTGCTAACCAGAAGGTTAGTAGTTCAAACTCACCAACCGCTCTGCAGAATGAAGGTGGAGTGATCTACTTCTATAAGGATTTACAGTCTCAGAAACCCAGTGGGGGTTGCTATGAGTCAGAATCAACTTGATGGCCATGAGTTTGGTTTGGGTTTTTTGGTGGTGTAAGGGGTAAGACATCTGGCTGCTAACCAGAAGGTCAGAGATTCAAACCCACCAGCTGCTCTGTGGAAGAAAGATGTGGCATTCTGCTTCTGTAAAGATTTACAGCCTTAGAAACCCAATGGGCGTTGCTATGAGTCTGAATTGACTTAATGGCAATGAGGTTTTTTTTTAATTTAATGTTTATTCCAATATAAAGAATTTCTATTCATATGGGATTTACTTACTAATAAACCCCATAAGCATCTATTGAATGCTGACTGTATGCAGGTACTATGTTAGATTGTTGTTGTTTACCATCAAGTTGGACCTGAGTCACAGCGACCCCTCCTTGGGTTTCCGAGGTGATATCACTATGGAACTAGATTGCCCAGCCTTCCTTCTCAGGAGTGGCTGGTGGGTTTGAGCCGCAGCCTTTTAGTTAGCAGTCAAGTGCCTTAGGCACTACGCTACCAGAGCTCCCACTATGTTAGATATGCAGAGATAATAAATATGTTCAGTCTGACTTCACAAACCCAGGTCTAGCCAAGAAAGCAAGGAAGCAGAAGAAAAGCATTTCATTACAGCAGAATAATTGCTGTGGTAGAAGTCTTCCATGAGTACAGTGGCGACATGAGAGGAGGTGGTCAGTTCTTCTGGAGTGGTCACAGAGGAGAGGATCATGGAGTCGGACGTTAAGGATGTCGGAGTTTGCCAGTTGGCCTGTGGGTGCCTGTTTCTGTATCATGACTGACTATGCACACCATTTATGCAGAACACCAGTAGTAGGCTTAAGTAAATAACTACTTAAAAGTAGAAAAATAATTCATTGTTAGTTTGCAGGAATGCTGTGTTCCTTTACACCTTTTTAATAATTAGTTTTGTGTTCAGATATAATTAAACCCTTTTGGTAAAATGCAGAAGCTTTAGAAGGGAACTGCTTCTGGCTGGCATGTCCCTGTAAACTACAGTGCGAAACAACCAGCTCTTTGCACGCTTGTATTATGTTGCATCTGCTTTTTGGAATTAAACTTGGATGGGCAGGGTAAAAGTAAAATTTGTGAGTTTATGAAGATTTTGCTTTGTTCTTTTGTCAAATTGTGGTGGAGTTGACAAGGGACTAAACATGGGATACACGCTTTTCAAATTTGTGAGGAGAAAAGCTTTAAACTACATGTGTGACTGACCGCTCTAACAATGTGTTTATCACACACAGAAAGGTTTGTGTGGTGATGTAGCAAGGATTCATTTCTGATGAAGATTTTTAGGATTTTTTTAGCAGTACTTATTTGGCAAAGAGTGCATGGCATGCTTTTGAGCAATCTAATAGTAATCTGTGTAGCTGTTGCCTGAAATGATGCACGTTCAGTTACTTGTTTGTCAGCACATGTTTTATTAGAACCAGTTGTCAGCATACTTGTGTTCTTTTGTTTGTTTGTTTATATTATCCAGGTCCCTTATTTATTTCTTTTGTGTCGTATTTGATCATTTCCTTTGGGATAAATAGGACAAACGGGGAGGGAACAGGAACCATCCGGTTTCAGGTGCTGCGTGTCTGGCCCCTTGTCGTCACTGAGCTCTGTCTGGAGCAATAAGGAGACTGGCTGCTGCCTTGTGTACATTTTCGGTCGTGCACATAGACACTGCTGGAAGAGAGAAGGACTACCAGAGCCTTAATCACAGTGACTGGCAGCTGTCACAGTGGAAAGGCTGGGGTTTTGCTTGTGTTTTATTGTTTGTTTTTGGTTATTGTAATGGCTAACATTTGGGTGCTACATATTTATCGTGCAGTGATGGTCGAAGTTCTGATTTGCTATATTTGGGAAAATGTGTTTAAACATAGATTTTATGTAATAATGTGAATGACAGTACCTGTTATGCAAATTCATTTTGTTGTGGTTTAGTGTGATCTTTATCTTATGAAACTATGAATCCAGTAAAACCGTCTATGTTGGAACTATGTTCTACATACTAAGAATTGTACCCCCCAAAAAAAGAAAAAAAAGAAGCACGTTAATATCAGTGCTATCTGGTTGATCCAGTGTGATTGAAAGGAAGTACTTCCTTTAGTTTATGAATGTAAGTCAAAGAAAGAAAACATATATTTCATTTTTAGATTATATAAATGGTGGCGAACTTTTCACTCACCTTTCTCAAAGAGAGCGTTTCACAGAGCACGAGGTGCGCATCTATGTGGGAGAGATCACCCTCGCCCTCGAACATCTCCACAAGGTAAGCGGCTTCACCTCTGGGATCCCTTGCAAGAAAACTGTCAACTCAAGTCATGTTGCACAAAACAGAGCTGATTTTCCACACGTCACCGGCTTGGTGGAGAGAGTAGAAGCCCAGCTTTCTGAGTTCCGGTTTCCCTTTGTTGTAAATCTACTTTCCTACTTTTGTGTGGTTCCTGTGCTTCAGGAGCTGTCTGTAAACAGTTGATGAGACGTTCTCAGCTCAGGTGTTACAGAATACCCACTGCCCTCACTCCGAGAGTAGCCTTTAAGGTGAAACCACCAGTCCTGGTAGGTATTTTCTTTATGGCGAGTTACTCCATTGCAGAATCTGCCTGTACATCTCCAGGGTGTGTCACCTTATTAGGGTAAGGAATAGAAGTAAATTACTTGAAAGAGACACTCAGCCCCGCTCCCCAGCAGTACTACTCCGCCACTCGGGTTTCCTTCCCTCTCCTGTCCCCTTCTCCTCCCTTGCTCCCATGTAGCGTGAACCAGCTCCTAAAAACTTCAAGGAGACACATGCCCATGACACTGTTTGGGACTCTGTAAAATCATTTTAAACTTTATATATATATATATATATATATATATATATACACATACATACACACACACACACACACACACATACATACATATATATATATATATATATTATTGCAGATACTGTTAATCCTGATCTGAGAAATTTTGACCTTTTATATATATCTATATAGAAAGGGTATTTTAGGAGTTCTGGTAGCGTAGTGCCTAAGGCATTTGACTGCTAACCAGAAGGCTGGTGGTTCAGACCCACCAGCCACTCTCAGAAGGAAGATGGGGCAATCTACTTCTGTAGTGATACTGCCTCGGAAACCCAAGGAGGGGTCGCTGTGAGTCTGATCCGACTCGATGGCAGTGAGTTTGGTTTTTGGGTTAATCATTCCTGAAGAAGCAGACGGTCATGATGGAGCCTGGGCTCATGCCACAGGGGTACGAGGCAGTCAGGAGACAGGGTGACTCCAGTCACTGCATCAGGACAAGATGTGTGCATGCAGAAGCCCTCTTCTACTTTGCACTGTCCTTAGGTGCTGCCGCTGGATTACAGCTGACGGGATGGAAGTGCTGGTTGTGGGGCATGACAAAGAAAGGAGGAAGAGGCCAGACCGCAGGATGACATTGTTAAAGCTGCAGGGAGATTAGGAGAGCACCATGAAGGCGATGGGCGGGCCTGCTGTGAGCAGAGGTGGTGTGGAGATTTAAGGGAAGGGTGCAGATCAGGAAGAGGGGAGATAGCCCCGAGCAGAAGGTGCGGGGAGCAGGAACCTGAAGAGGGAACCAAAAGAGGTGTAAGAACACAAGGGAGAGAGAGAAGGTGGGGTGGGTGGAGGGTCCAGTTCCGAGAGAAGAGGGAGGCGGGAGGAGGCGGGAGGGAGCCCAGCTGAAGGTGGGCGCGCTTGCCCAGCCTGCTCGCACTGCTCATTGGTTGCTGGCTTTAATAGAGCCCCGTGGTTATTTTTGCAGAGTGTGAATTTCTTTATACATGAAACAAATTAGACCCAGTAACAGGCTAAAAAGGCCACTGAGTTTCTATTCTAAGAAGAATTAGATGTTAACTTTTTATAATATAAAAGTGATAGTGAGACCACCATAAACACCAGAGTGAAAACAGGCGACATCCAAAGCCCCAAAGAGTAAGCTAGCAACTGCAATTCTCAATTCGTGCGGAAGCTTTAACTCTGTTTATTAAAATAAAATCTAAGAGCATTCACTCTGATTAAAACAGGCTAATTAGGAATGCAGCAATGGAAAGCAGCGTCAGTGCTGGATGGAAGGTTATTGATAGAGAATACAGGCATACCTCGTTGTATTAAGCTTCACAGACCCTGCAGTTTTCATAAATCGGAGTTTCTGTGACTCACTTTATTGTGACGTTTGCTCTATCGTGGTAGCCGGGAACTGAACCCACAGTATCTCTGGGGTTTGCCTGTGTACGTAATACAGCCAATCAGATGTAAGGTGAGTTTCTCTTCATCTGCTATAAAATGGTAGATACACATAAGTGAGACATAAAGCCACACTGGTAATCCTGATACAGCTACTCACACTGGGGTTCACAGGAAGGCACTCAAGTGGAGTTGAGTTGGAAGCAGACAGTAAAATGATTTGTTCTTAGAATCTTTTCCAAATAAGTTGTTCAAAAAAAAGAGAGAGGAAAGTATCACGAGATGCATCTAATGCTCCTGGTCAATTGTCTGTTCCATATGACTCTAGAAGTTTTCCTGCTTATCTTTCTTGTAAAACTCTGAAACTCTTGAAGGAAAAATACCTAGTTTTCCTTTGTGTGATTTTTATTTCAGTTTTAACAGATTGAGAAATTACTTTTTCATATACTTAAGGTTGAGGGAAATAGTTTCTCTGAGTTGAGAAACATTTAGTTTAGGCTGACATAGTTAAAAACATGCAACACAGAGTTCACATGTGTCAAATGCCTCTTATGTAACTGAAGTAATAATTGACACATTTTGCTGTAAAAGTTACATGCAAAACAGTATTACCTAATGGACTTACCTGGCTTTAGAGCTAAAGATCAGCTAAAATTAACCCATGGTCTTCAACCTTTATGTTTAGGAGCAGCCTTTATGAATTATCTCCTTAACATATGATGCTATCTAGGTACTAGATAAATGCATAAGAAGGGGAAAGGCAGAGTTAAGGTCTGGTTGTATCAAGGCAAATAGGAAATACCTAGACCATTTCAGCCATTTATAAGTAAGTACAGTGATGGCACAGTGGTTAAGCACTTGATGCTAACTGAAAGGTCAGCAGTTCAAAGCCATCAGCCACTCTGAGAGAAAGATGTCTGCATCTGTAAAGATTACAACCATGGAGATCCTATGGGGCTATTCTAGTCTGCCTCTATGTGTTGGAATTGACTCTACAGCAATGGGTGTGATCTGGTCTAGACAGTGAAGATAGAGGTGCTGAAGGATGAAAAACAAGGAATTGGCCAGTGTGGGATCTGGTTAGTGAGAAAAGCCCTCGGAAGCCATCAGGAAGTGATGGGCTTGAATGGGCTAAGAAGTAGCTGAAGATCATCTGGAGTGAGGGTGAACTTACCTTCAGAGAAAGAGACAGGAAGAAGTAAGTCGTCAGGTGGGAGGCCCTAAAGAAGCTGACCCAACAGGGGCAGACCCTCATTATGCAGAGAGTGAGGCCATGGTTGGAGGGACCTGGTTAGAGAGACATGGTTAGAGAGGTCAAGGGGAGCCAGCAGATGCGTCTAGACAGAGGGATGTGCTGGGTCCTGGCCACTGACTAAAGACTTCCCAGAACAGGAGGATGCTGCTTTTTAAATTTTTTTAAGGTACATACGAAAGACTGTCCTAATTTATTTTTTGGAAATTATTTTAAAATGCATACTTGTTTGTTTTTACAGTTGGGGATTATATACCGTGACATTAAGCTTGAGAATATTCTGCTTGATTCTAATGGCCATGTGGTGCTGACCGATTTTGGTCTGAGTAAGGAGTTTGTGGCTGATGAAGTGAGTATTACATTTTAATCTGAAGCTAGTAATAACTTGAAGTTCATAATAACAGCATGTAAACCATGATGAAAGATTAACTGTAGAACAAGCATTTGATGGGATAGTCCTGTGTGGACTGTGAATTTCCACTCAGATTTGCCCAGAGGAGCATTTCAGCGTGGACGACTGTAAATGTTTTTAACTTTAAAGTTACCATGGAAACAGCCTGTTAGAACTGCAGTGTATCTTTGATGTATATGTCAGAATTCCCTAGTTTAAAAAATACACCTACGTTTACCTGTTCCCGTAAAGTACATACAGTATAATTGAAAACTTTAAATTGCCCTTTCGGAAAGTTATGGTTGAGATGATTATGGCCAATAGAATCATGTAACCAAGCACATACAGTGAACCTGGTAATTACAAAGTAGGAATGGCCTAAGTCTTTAATAATCTTGCTGCTGTCTGCTCAAACTGAGCTAAAATTTTAACTAGTGTGTACATTTTAAGTATGGTGGGCTTACATCTCCCATATTAATCAGATTATGAAAATAATACAAATGCATTTAAGGGCATCTAAAATGGAATGTCTTTTAGTTATAATTAAATATTTATGAAGCAGTTGTAATAAAATTTTTATTTTTATACTGCTATTTCTTCACGATAAATGAGTACATTTGAATGTGTTCTTTCTGTTCTGGAAATGTATTGGTATAGAATACACAGTCACAGTAAAATGTTTGTAGTCAAGGACTTTGTTGTTATAAAACATCTCATCCTGAGTTACAAGTTAGGTGTGTCTATTTCTGATTGTTTGCTTTTTGTAATACCGCCAATGCAATTCTCTTTCAGTTGGCTAAGTGCTAAAATTATAAAAAGTAAAGATTTCAAAATGTTGTCATATCTCTCTTCAGTCACTTTATTTATTCAATAAATATTTATTAACCACCTCTATTATTAGGTAAGGAGCTCTGGTGGTTTAGTGCATAAGCCATTTGACTGCTAACCAGAAGGTTAGCGGTTCAAACCCACCAGCCACTCCATGGAAGGAAGACTGGGCAATCTACTTCCATAAAGATTTACCACCTTGGAAACCCAAAGGGGTTCACTATGAGTCAGAATAAACCTGATGGCAGTGAGTTTGAGTTTGTTTTCTGTTACTAGTTAGGAGCCTTGGTGGCACAGTGGTTAAATGCTCCGCTGCTAACTGAAAGGTTAGCGATTCAAATCCAATAGCCGTTTTGCAGGAGAAAGATGCTTTCTGTCTGCTTCTGTAAAGATTTACAGCCTTGGAAACCCTGTGGAACAGTTTTACCCTGCCCTATAGGGTCACTATGAGTTGGAACTTACTCAGTAGCTGTGAGTTATTATGCTAGGTACTGCACAATACCTGTTAGCAAGCTTCCCTACCTATGCTTTTACGTCTTAAAAATAGTCTCATCTTAAACAAATGTAGTGTATACGTGCAGTGGAATATTACTCAGCCATAAAGAGAAATGAAGTCCTGATACATGCTGAAACATGGTTGAATTTTAATAACATAAAGCAAGTTAGTCATAAAAGGAGAAATATTGTATGACCCCAGTTATATGGAATAGGCAAATGATAGAGACCAGAGTTTGTGGTGGTTACTTGGGATAGGAGAGGATCGTCAACAGATCTTTGCTCAGGGGCACTGAGCTTCTGGTAATGGTGGTAGAATGTTTAGAGGTGGGTAGTGGTAACCATTACACAGCGTGATGAATATAATCAAGCTCCGAATTGTACATGGAAAAAATGTTGAACTGGCAGATATATGTTGTTGTTGTTGTTAAGTGCCGTCGAGTCGTTTCCGACCCATTGCGACCCCATGCACAGCAGAACCGATCCCGCGCCAGCCCCACAATCCCTGCTATACTTGAGCCCATCATCGCAGCCAC